ATTTTGAGTCCTTCAGCTGAATTCTTAGGCATTTCTTGAAGAAACGCAAAAATCAGTCTATTGATATAAGCGTCAAACAAAATACTGTCAGTTATAATTAAGTTTACTTTAAAAATCTGTGCATACCTTTTCTACTGAGCGAACGATCATGGAATTTTTCAGTTTAGCTTGCAAAAGCTAAGATGTCTTTGACTTATCCCCGTTTTTACGTAAATTAAAATAGAATTGATTTTGAACTCAGTCCAGCACTTTCCCTGAAACTGACGTAAAGAATTTTAAAAAAACAACTAGCAAGTCATGAAACTGCCTAGAAAGCTGAAATATGTTTAAATGTGTTTAAACAGAGCTACCAGCAAAAGCGAAAATTAGTCATTAGTCCCGTTTTTGCAAACAATACGCAAAAATCCGGCTGCAGGATCTCCGCAAACTGCCCACTCCATTATATTAACTACATGCCGATGTGAACGTGGATAACTGATGTAAACATGAACGCATTCGGAAGCGCGTGAATAATTACAAATACTTTTAGCAACCACCCGCTGGTGAGGCCATCAAAAGCTCTCTTTTTCGCGGGTTTCTCACAAGTTCCTGATAGCAAATTTGGCTTCAAGGCGTGCACCAGTATCCATTTGATATTGAAACGAATGAATGGATTGTAGAGGGATTGGCTGTCCCACTGGCAAAGTCGAATAGACATACTATGATATGTGTGTAAAAACATATATATATACATCTATATAAAATTATATTAAAAATTTCAAAGAACAGAAATATTTTGGCCCATTAAGTTGTAGACTTTCCTATTCAACATCACAACTGGACCTCATTAGTAGGACGGTATGGTTTGATAAGAGTAAATAAATAAAATAAAACAAATTTGTGCTGGAAAATGTTTTAAGAAAGATGAAAAGAGATAAATGTAACAAATAATAAAATAAGGGAAAAAAGCAGCAATTACTACACATAAAAATGCCAAAAAAGGGCTCAGAAACTTTCAGTTGCTGGTGCTGAGCTAGCTATGGTTAAAAAATAAAATTTAAATATGCTTAAATGAATATGATAAAAATTTTACACGTATCATAATTTTACACAAATTTTACACAAAATTTTGCACAAATTTTTATCATCTTCATTTAAGTG